GTTATTCCTTTTCTAGTATGCTTCTGTGAGTGTCCAGTCTTCTCTTGAAAGAGTCAATTGAAGGTGCGGACACCACTGCTTCAGGCAGCAGGTTCCAAGTATTGATGACTCGGTGTGAAAACCTGTATGCCACGGGTATTTTGTTCGTTCTTGGCTTTTCTACTCGCCTGCTATGTCCTCTGAGGTGTCCCGATCTAGTGGGAAGAAAGAGAGAGAATAAGTTAGGTCCGAAATCATTTCTCAGTATTCTGTACATCAATATTAGATCTCCCCTTAGTCTGCGATAGGACAGAGTAAAGAGGTTCAGTTTTTCAAGCCGCTCTTTATATGATAAACCCGGAGTTCCGGAATTGCACGCGTAGCTGCCCTCTGTACCTTTTCTATTATGTCCGAGTCACCTTTAAACAGGGGCTTGCAGCCTGAACACAGTTCTCTAACTTAGTTCTCACTAAGGATGTGTATAATGTGGTGAACATGGTAGTATCAAGCTTAGTGAATGTCCTTTTTAAAGCCCAGAGGGTTCGAAACCCCTTAACTGCGACCTCCCGGCAATGGGCCGTCGTCTTAAGATCATTGCTCACTGTCACCCCTAGGTCCTTATGAGACCGGACTACGGGTAATGACACATCCCCTATGTTGTACGTATTAACCTTTGAATCCCCCAAGTGCATGTAGACACACTTTTCCGAGTTGATAGGCATTAGCCACTCTTTAGACCAGTTTATCATATTATTTAAGTCCGCCTGAAGAGTAAATGCGTCTTTGTCTCCAGTTATTACTCGCCAAATTTTTACATCGTCAGCGTATAATAACATTGGAGACTGTACTATACTTGTAAGATCATTAACGTACATTATAAAAAGTAAAGGACCTAAGACGGAACCTTGGGGTACTCCACTAAGTACTGGTCTCCAGATGGAGCACTTGGAATTTATTCTTACTTTTTGCCTACGACCTACTAGGAAATCCTTAATCCATTTTAAAAGAGGTCCGGCAATACCAAGGTTTGCCAACTTCAATAGCAGCCTATTAGTTGGCACCTTGTCAAAAGCCTTACTGAAGTCTATGTAGACAACATCCACTGAGTTTCCGTTGTCTAGCGCATTAATCCAGAGCTCCCTAGCTATAAGGAGGTTCGTTGTACAGGATAGACCCTTTCTAAAACCATGTTGTGCCATGTTCAGCAAGTTATTGGTTTCCATAAATGCTGTTATGGTCCGTTTGATTATTCTTTCCAGTATTTTAATTACAACACTGGTGAGGCTTACGGGTCTGTAATTTGATGGAACTTGTCGTAGACCTGTTTTATGTATGGGAGTGACGATTGCGTCCTTCCAGTCCATAGGTAACACACCTTGGTCAAGTGACATTTTGAATATCACAGTCAGTGGGGCTGCGATATATTGGGCAATATGTCTCAAGATTTTAGGGTGTAGTTCATCTGGTCCTGTTGACTTCTCCATGTTTAGGGTGCTAAGAGCCTTAAGCACATCGTTTTGGTCGAAGTCCACGGTGAGCAGCTGGTTTGTTGACTCTGTAATTGGGTCTGGTTCTTTCTCTAGAGGAGGTTCCTGAGTGAAAACTGCCCCAAAGTAGTCAGCCATAACCTCAGCTTTTTCCTGATCTTCCTCTATCATTTCAGATTCACTTCCTACTTTAATTAGGTTGGGAATCCAATGATGAATCCTTGTTCTGTAGTTTATGTACGAGAATATCCTCTTGGGCTGCTTGAGTGCAGATTCTGCCAGCTGCATTTCATATTTTCTTTGCGCTTCCCGAATTTTAGTTATACACTCGTTTCTTATCGATCTGTAACGTTCCATCGTACCCGCTGTGCCAAGGCGGATGGCAACATCCCAGCATTTCTTCTTTTGTCTTAGTAAGCGTCGAATATCCCGCCCTATCCAGGGATGTCCGTGCTTCTTTTTCTTTGGGACAGTCCAGGGTATGTATGGTTGAGTTACCCGATTGTATAACTGCCTGAATAGAGTCCATGCCTCTTGTACTGATGCCTTTGAGTCAATTTCCCAGTTCTCAGCCGATGCTGCGGAGTTAATTGCCTGCATATCTGCCTTCCATATGTTAGGACGGGCCGGCGCAATTGTTTGACAAGCAATCTCAGCCATGAATTTGAATAAGATGACTGCATGGTCACTTCTCCCAAGTGGTGGGAGAAAAGCCGTTTGACCAACGTCATCACCGTGTGTGAAGACTAAATCTAAAAGAGAAGAGTTTCTTAAGTCGTATCTTGTGGGATCTCTAATGTGTTGGAATAATGCTAGTCCAATCGAGGTTTCTAACAGTTTGGAGTCGAACGACGATATGGATGACCCTACTTCTAAGTTAACCCAGTTTATATATGGTGCATTAAAGTCGCCTACTACAAGGCTTTTACCGTTGTTACACCAGGACTTAAGTTTACTAAGGAGAAAATCATCTGCTACACATTCTGGACTGCGATAAACTACAACTACTTCAATATCTTGCCTTCGGCATTTCAACTTACATCTCACCAGTTCACATGTCCCTGAAACATGTGCTACTGTCTCAGCTAATCTTATGGTTAGGGTACTTTTGGTGTACAAATAACCCCGCCTCCCCTTCGGTTTAATCTATCAGCCCTACTGGTTATGAAACCAGTCAATTGGATTTCACTATCTAATACTTCTGACGTTAACCAAGTTTCCGAGACAGCGATAACGTCCGGTTTTTCTTTGTCCACCACTGACTTCAGCTCCGCCATTTTATTTAGTAGGCTGCGAGCATTTGTGTAGCACACTTTTAAGTCTGTGGAGAGCTTTCCCTTGCCACCCAGAGTGGCTTGGGGATCGTTTTGCTCCGAACTTTTACAATCTGAAAACCCTTAAGAACGAGGTTTCTTTCACCGTTTCGGCGACGCTCGTTTATTTCCGCTTCTGCAGCTCTTCTCTTAATACGATCAGCTAGGCTGAGGTCCTCACGGACATATATTCCGGATCCAATCAGTTTACGTGAATTACTTAGAATCAGGTTCCTTTCTTCCACCGTGTTGAATGTAACCTTTAGGAGGCGGTTTTTCTGAGGACTTTCGGAATCCACCTTTTTTCCTATTCTATAAAGCTTACAAATACTAACTCCTGAAACTGTATCTGGGAGTAGTTTACTTAATGATGTCTTAATATGATTGAGATCATGTTCAAATCTTGCCTTTGGTTCAGTATCTGAAGATTCTCTTATCTTATGAAAAATGACTGATCTATCAGAGAGATCTGTCTTTTCACGCGGTGAGGATTTTTCTTCTGATAACATCCCTTCCAATGTTTTGCTGACCAGCTGCGTTTTGCCTACAGCCTTTTTCTTCTTATTTTTTTTCTTCTTACCGAAGTCCATTTGTCACCACTCAGAACAGCCACACCTGGACTATGTGGAACGGTGACAGTTTTATCCGGATCTTCTATTTCGACTAGAGGTGTATGACTGCCGATGTCATTATCAAGCGACACTTCATTTCTCGTTAATGTCAACGGAGATTTCACGTTCCCGTCAACCGCAGTCAGGTGTTTAATGGGTCCAGTAGCAGCACTTACTACACTGACACATTCTTCATCGTCAGTGCTCCTGTTATCAGTGCTTCCGCCATCATTTTTCTTGCAGGCCAAAGCCAATAGGCCCATAGCCTCCTGTATTAGTACCTTTTTATCCGTACAGCAGAACATACAAAGCCAATGCGAGTTAGGCTTCGAGCATCTTTTGTAAGCCGTCGGACTTAGTCGTGTACACATTTTGTGATACCACTTTTTACAGTCGTCACACTGCATTCCCTCCTCAACGGAGAACAAACAATTTGGTTGCCCACATTTGTGAGTCTTACCAACCATTGTAATTCGATTTAAAAGGTTTAAAAACAAAAAATGATAACAATGTGAACACAAGTGTTAGTCAAGGACTAAAAACAGGTACTCAGGACAAAATTTAGTAAAAAATTTCAAACTGTATTGATCAAGTTTACATTTGGTTGTAATTTCATATTTAACATAAAAATTATCGAAATAATTTACACATTGTCTCGAAAGCAATAACTTCATCTTATCTTTGTGAGGTTCTACTCTTGAAAATATATTCGACTTTACTTGACAAGACGAATGGCAAAGTACCTACAATCACTAAGACACTAGTTTTTTTAAGATCAGTGATAAATGAAAGAAATGTGAATAAGACCATTTCTGTGAACATAAACAGTTGATAATAACAATATTTAGTCTATTTGTGTTAAGATAAATTTAATGGAGGTATTTTGCGACAGATTTTGATCCAGTGGTTGAAGTAGTCTATACAGTATTATTAAACTTAACATAATAGTTGCCCCCACGATAATATATATATATATATATATATATATATATATATATATATATATATATATATATATATATAAAGCAGAATTGGTATGAACTAATGTTACTATATAGAATGAAGTGATCGTGATTGTTGACCACTTCATTCATCTTGGAAGTTATCTAAACGCTTCTGTATTTGTAGTAATGAAATTTTGAAAGGAGTGCAAAAGATTTGTTTCATTGTTGTCAACTCGTTCCATTTTTGAAACAAGTAAAATATTCATCGTCCTATCGATTGGAAAATATACTGAACAGTAGTTCGTTCTGCATTGATCTGTTGTTGGGAAACATAGCTTATTAAAGTAATTTGGAAATATTCGACCACGATTATTTTTGATGTATTTTTAGTTTATTCTGTTGTTCTGTTGATGCTCAGTTTTAACAGACACTGGTCATTGAATGACATGCTGTTAGTTATCTTTGATTTATTACTCGGTGAATGCTTTAATATGATAAATAACTATGTTTTTTGTTTTGGAAAAACATTGTTTGGAAATAAATATATAATATATTGAGGTTGATGAAGAAACTGACATTCAATTGGATAGAAATTTGCCTATTCTTGATGAAAATGATGAAATCTTTACTAATCTTATCAATACAATCGCAAAAGATTTCAATGAGATGAAATTTACCAGTGTAAGTTACAACATATATGATACTCCACATTTGTGTAATTTTAATTCGACTTTCATTGCATCTGTAATAACTTTGAAAAGAATAATAACTCTCGAGTTTGTTGGATTAAGACATGCCACCAAAGTATGGATCTATAAGCATTACTTCAGGTCACGTAAATATAATATTATTTTACTGCCTTATGCTTTTAATAAAAGATAACAGAGAAGGTGAATGAATCTAAGTGATATGTAAAAAGGAGAAACCATGTTAGTGCAAATATAATCAGTTCTTATCGGAGTTGTTGAATATTCAAAATAATAAATGATTTGTGATTATTTGAATAATCTGAAGGTAATTTCCGTCATTGACTGAAATTAAGTGGGAAATTCGTGATATTCAGATGAAATCAAATACTTACAGATCCGACAAAACAAAATTCAAGATTATCCACAGAGACGGTGATTTAGCTATGAAATTAGACAAAATACAATATAAACCTTAAATAGTGAGATCTCTGAAGTATTGACTGAGTTCTTACACAATCAAAGAACAATACTTTCCAAAATATATATACAGAGTTATTTATATCGACATGCGATATATGGCAGCCAATATCTGTGTCGGAATCTTAGTAGCAGACAATTTTCAGATGAAGATGAAAATTACAAACGTATGAAAACTGTCACAATATAGCCGACATTCGACAGATATACTAGGGTTGAAAATATATATAGCAGGTATCAAAAAGATGTGATTACAACCATAAATAAAGTGAATATTGTCAGCTGGTTTTAATAATCAAGAATATCAGAAGACAACAGAAAAGTCACATTGGACGCTCAAAAGTTATTAGAGATGGAAAGGGTTCCTGAAAATAATAAATAGAATAGAGGAATATACAAAACGAAGTCGGACATAAAGAAAGTAAAGATATAGAATGAAAAAGAACTTAACACCGATAACGTCGAATGATATTTACTACGTACAGTCCATCAATTGAATTCGCAAAGAGTGAACTATGAGAATCCATATTAAATGTAAAATAATAAAATTCCCAGAGCTAAATTTGGAGGTTTCAGATAGTATATTATCTGTTTACACGTTAGAGAGCTCATTACTTACTTACTTACTTACTTACTTACTTACTTACTTACACTACTTACTTACTACTTACTACTACTACTTACTTACTTACTTACTTATTACTTACTTACTACTTACCTACTTACTTACTTACTTACTTACTTACTTACTTACTTACTTACTTACTTACTTACTTACTTACTTACTTACTTACTTACTTACTTACTTACTTACTTACTTACTTACTTACTTACTTACTTACTTACTTACTTACTTACTTACTTACTTACTTACTTACTTACTTACTTACTTACTTACGCCTGTTACTCCCTGATGGAACATAGGCCGCCAACCAGCATTCTCCAACCCACTCTGTCCTGAGCCTTCTTTTCTAGTTCTATCCAATTCTTGTTCATTCTTCTCATGTCTATCTCCATTTCCCGGCGTAATGTGTTCTTTGGTCTTCCTCTTTTCCTTTGGCCTTGAGGATTCCACGTGAGGGCTTGCCTTGTGACGCAGTTGGGTGCTTTCCTCAATGTGTGTCCTATCCACTTCCAGTGCTTCTTCCTGATTTCTTCCTCCGCTGGGATTTGGTTTGTTCTCTCCCACAGTAGGTTATTGCTAATAGTGTCAGGCCAACGGATCTGAAGTATCTTGCGTAGACAACTGTTAATAAACACCTGTATCTTCTGGATGATGGCTTTCGTAGTTCTCCATGTTTCCGCCCCATGCAGTAGAACTGTCTTGACATTTGTATTGAAAATCCTGACCCTGGTGTTGGTTGACAGTTGCTTTGAATTCCAAATGTTCCTCAGTTGTAAATGTGCTGCTCTTGCTTTTCCGATCCGCGCCCTCACATCCACATCAGATCCACCCTGTTCATCAATGATGCTGCCCAAATATGTAAAGGTTTTTACATCTTCCAAATCGTCTCCGTCAATTGTGATTGGATTGGTGCATGCTGTGTTGTATCGGAGAATCTTGCTTTTCCCTTTGTGTACATTGAGACCTACCGCTGCTGAGGCTGCTGCTACACTATTCGTATTTTCCTGCATTTATTGTTGCGTTTGGGATAGAGGGGCCAGATCATCTGAGAAGTCTAGATCGTCTTACTGCATCTTAGATGTCCACTGTATCCCGTGCTTCCCTTCAGATGTTGACGTCTTCATGATCCAGTCGATCACCAGGAGAAAGAGGAAGGGTGAGAGTAAGCAACCTTGCCTGACACCGGTCTTCACTTCGAACGACTTTTTCAACTGTCCTCCATGCACGATTTTGCAGTGTAATCCATCATATGAATTCTGTATGATATTGACTATCTTCTGAGGCACGCCGTAGTGTCGAAGAAGTTTCCATAGTGTTGTTCTGTCCACGCTATCAAATGCCTTTTCGTAGTCAATGAAGTTGATGTAGAGTGATGAATTCCATTCAATTGATTGTACCACAATGATTCGTAGAGTTGCGATTCGGTCTTTACACGATCTATAGAGTGCTCATTTCTGATGAGTTATAAGTATTTAGAAACAACTATCAACTTTCTCCTTGCTTTCGGTAAATCAACGAATGATTTCAATCAGATATAAGAATATCTTCTTAAACATCTTTAATTACTACTAAGCGAAGATGGTTAATGTCTAGCAGTGGAATCCAGGACAAAGCGCGTTTCGTCCTGTTTGGGACTCGTCAGCTGGATGCACCTGCATCCCAGAGTTGATGTTCACTCCGAGACTCGAACCCAGCACCGTTTGCTCCAAACGCCATCGCATTATCCACTTAGCTACTGATACTAATCAATTGCAGTCTTAAATAACAATGTGAAGATACAAGTAAAACGACAGCAAATGAATCTTTAATTACTGTTTAAGAGATATTATAGTATTAATGAGGAAGAAGAAACTAACAAAATCACCATTTTTTAGGCAATGAAGTGATTGTTTTCCGTATGATCTTTCTACATAGGATTTTCATACTTTTATATCTTATCTATAGCTTAAGTAAATTCACTTTTAGTAAATATATATCACTCAAAATTCAAAACTTTTGCTTAACTTTATAAAATCACTAATTATTTTGAATTCTTTATCATAGATTACACAATGATAACCTGTTATTTTGTTTTTACAAGTTATAAGTTTAATCATTATCCAGTTCAAACATTTTATAACGATTTTTTATTTGGATTATCAATGTTTAATATAAAACTAGTATTTACATTATATCATGTAAACAATCTTTCAATATCTAATTGTATAAATAGTAATATATTGTTTGATGGATTTACTGATCATAAACCTTCCAAACAAACATCTTTAAAAGTTCTACAGTCAATGATTTTTCAGCTCATGATATACCATTGTCTAAAAAGAATCCAATGTTGTTGCATACAAGTACATAGAGCTAAGATATTTTGACTTATTCTCAATCAATTTTGATAATGTTCTTTTTTTTTGTTTCTTTCTTAATTATATAAATATCATTATATACAAATTAAGGATAATGAAAATTTTAAATTCTTTGAAATACCAGTTCCTGATGAGATAGACATGAAACCAACTTATGAAACAGCTTGTCAATTATTCAGTAATAATTCTAAATCTGTACTTAAGAACCTCAGTCAATCATTTTTAATGGATAAATCAAAATGGATTTTACCGTAAGTGATAACAAACTTTATTAGTTAATTTAATCTGAAAACAAAAGCATTCAATTGCCAGAACTTTTTTTAGTACAAAACTTCATTCATATTTATGTTTAAAATGTAAAGACTTTTTAGGAGTTAATACTTTGCAGTAACAATCTAAGCTCTATCTCATTGAGCGGGAAGTTTTTTTCGTAAGTAACTGATCAAATAATTGATGGAAGCGATCAATAGTTCTGTATAAATCAACCCAATTAAGACATCATAAGAAGATAATGACTTTTGTATATAACACAATAAACATTTCAAACAAAACTACTCACAGTAACGTTTTTCTTTGTTTTACCTAGCAGAATTTTCAAGTTGCACACTGATGAAGATGAAACTATGTTTCGAAGAACAAAAACACTGGTAATTTACAAAAAGTTTTGAATGAATATTCTAAATATTTCGTTTTAATAATAAGGGACGTTTATCACAATGAATAGAATTATTACATCAATTCTTTTACGTATATAACTTAGTTATAGTATAGTTATTATCATGCGACCAAAGTGATTAATATTAGTACTACTGTATATTGTTAGAACTGTAGCTCAGTAGTTGAAGTATAAAGAATTTCTAAGCTCTTATCATTTTGTGTTAATGATTACTGTGGTAGTCGAACAGTCGACTCTGTATTGTACAAGAGTGGTTGATAATGAACAGTTTTTAGTCATCTTCAGCAAAGCGATATCCAAATCCTAACTTAACAAATTTTCAAGACCGATACCAATACTAAAGTCATCGCATAAATTATTAAGACATTCAAACGCCTAATTTACGTAAATAATATTCAACCAAGATAATATGGTTGATTTAATCTTTACATAAAACAATGGTTAATCAGAGATACAAACTAATAAATCGATGGTTACTGATATTTCTCCTGCCAAATCAACAGAACTAGCAAATTACACTCACTGATTAATCTTTATGTAATTACAAAAAGTAACTAGAAAGTAGGTTTTCACCATGTTTGTTGTTAGTTAAGTTTTAAAGGCATCTATCATATGAAGTTTACCATAAGTCAGTTTATTAACTATTTTCCATTTGCTGAAATTACCACTCGTCTCATTATTATTATGATGTATTCACTTTAGCCAAGTAGTAAACTGGATGAATTATTTATTCATGAAGTAAATAAATACAAAAAACGAAATGAAAAAGTTGAAAATATATCAGTTGACAATTTTAATGAAAAATATGAGAAAACTTTAGCAGAATTAAAAAATGAAGAAAAAATATTCAATAAGTGAGTACTTCAGAAAAAAATCACTAGTCAGTCACTTTTTTACTTTTCTAAGACAAACTCAGAGTTGAGTTATTTAGAATTGTAATAAGATGTATGTCCCTAACTTGGAATCCTGAAGGGAAGCGGAAAAGAGGAAGGCTAAAGAACACATCAGTAAGCCTCAACATACACAAAGGGAAAACCAAGGTCCTCAAATTCGAAACGGAGAACATCAATCCAATCAATCTTGATGGAGAAACTCGGGAAGATGTAGAATCCTTCACATACCTGGGAAGCATCATCGATGAACAAGGAGGTTCAGATGCAGACATAAAGGCAAGGATTGGCAAAGCAATGGTCGCATTCCTACAATTGAAGAACATATGAAACTCAAAACAACTTTCAACCAATATCAAAGTGAGAATCTTCAATACAAACGTCAAGGCAGTTCTACTGTATGGAGCTGAAACATGGAGAACTACAACAACCACCATCAAGAAGGTACAAGTATTTATAAATAGTTGTCTACGTAAGATACTCAACATCCATTGGCCGGACACCATCAGCAACAGCCTTTTGAGGTAGATAACAAACCAGCTTCCAGCTGAAGAGTAAATTAGGAAAAGACGATGGAAATGGATAGGACATACATTACGCAAATCATCAAACTACATCACGAGGCAAGCCCTAACTTGGAATCCTGAAGGGAAGCGGAAAAGAGGAATGCGAAAGAACATATTATGTCGGGAAATAGAATCAGATATGGAAAGGATGAATAACATCTGGAAAGAGCTGGAGAGGATTGCCCAGAACAGGGTTGGATGGAGAATGGTGGTGAGCGACCTATGCTCCTTCACGGAGAGTAACAGGAGTAAGTAAGTAAGTAATAAGATGTATAAATCCACACTATGGATAGTTTATTGAATGTAATCAATAGTGTGTAGTGTCGGTTGCTATGCTAAGCCCACACAGATTATTTTAGCTTTCGGATACACCAGTTTATTTATTCGTCTGGAGTCGCATTTCGACCTTGTCAATTATTCGCTTATCAACCTTGACTTTTTATACGAGCATATTTGTGTGCACTTCTTATCCTATTTGTCACATGTTTGTAATTTATTTTAGTTTGACTATAAATATCGATTAACGTTTGATTAAATTGAATTGGCTAACATGCCTTCTCTATCGCGCATCGTTTTGCCTCGTTCTCTTCTCTTTGCTTCCTTCCTTCGCTCGTTTGTCTGGATCAACATCTGTACGAAATATACTCATTCAAAAATCCATTCTCGTATTTGACTTGTTTAATTCCGTTATCCACTAACGCGAGTTCAGTCGATAATTATATGCAAGGATTGGTGACATGTATATTTCGATAATAATCATACATATGATCTAAGTGGAGTCAGATATTAGACCACTAAAAGTGTACAAAACAGAGAAAGAAATTTACCTTCATCTAGCAGATGTTTAATTACAGTACACTATGTGAATACTAATGAATAAAATTTGATTACTTAAAGTTCTCGAGTTAGAGTTTGAAAATGTCCCATTTGCTTGTAACTTAAATTATTAAAACATTAAGCTAAATATTGATAAAACAATTTGTACAGAATACTGCAGTTCTATTTAATAATTATTGACATTTATTAATTCATCATATCCAAGACGTGCAAAAGCCCTACTGACACACCGAAAATCCGAATGCCTCTTACTTAGCATTTTAGAAAAGAGATTTTTTCAGTCGACTCTTTTAATTTTACATTATTCTTTTGTTTTAGTACATCAAGTATACTTGATCATTCACTTGGGCACTGCGGTCACGCTCTCAGTTCACTAAGACCACCTCTAGTCCAATTTCCTTTTCAGGTACCTCCAAAAGAACCCTTCCACGGTATGGGAAACCGGGAAGTGATAACCGCCCTCATACCTTTAACAACACTCAAGACCACTGTATTCATAATCACCTTCTTTCTTCAGTTCTTATTTATTAAACAGTATAATTCCATTTGAACTGCAAAGCTTCTCCATCTGTTATTTACATCTAAACGTTTTTGTTCGTTACATCATTTCACTTAGTTAATAATAAATAACTACACAATTCATGATCTACAATTAAGAAGCAAATAATAGACTGTACAGTAATTTCAGTTAAGACAAATATCAACAATTTATACACAAAGTATTGTCTACAATCAAATCAAAAAAAAATAATTTTAAGGTGAATATTTATACTACAACTGGCCTGTTTGTCTACTCTCATCAACCAATTACAGAAGTGAATAGTATAAATTACCATACATAGAATTGTATTATGTATACAAATATATATTCATCATATAAACCATGCTATATACTTGGTGTTTCTTTAATTTTAATTTGACAACAATATACACGTTACTTGCATATGCATTTATCGATAGAAATTTACTCATATCAACCAAATATTAATTTATCATGCCGATAAAAAAACTAATCGAATGGAATCATTTACAACGTGTACAGTTTTAAGTTACAAAAAATATTGATATCATCTTTCTTTAAAATATAAAATGGATCACTCTTGTAGATTCTGAAAAATTTAACCATATAAACACTGATTATTTAACTACTCATATGAGTAACTGTAGTTCATATTTTCTTAACATGGTTCACTCAAAACAAAGTTAAATGACTAGATTACAGATATAATAATTTATACCATTGACGATTGTATGAATTTTATTTGGTTATTTCTTCATTTATTTATTTACTCTGAAGAAATGGTTTATATTGAGTCACAGAATATCAAAAATTTTCATTTCTACAAATTGTGATATCAGATCTGTTTATTTTTGACTGGTCGCATATAATTTTGATTTGGTTATTCATTCTCTGAAGAAGTGGTTTACACTGAGTCATGAAACGCCAGAAAATCTAAATTTTTTTTACTCATTGGGATATTACAAATATATTAATTTATTTGAAAATATGTAATTGTTTTATTAATAATATTTGAGCAAATACCCAATTGATTTGAACTTATCAAGTCAAGCTTTGGTATTAATACCTATAATATCTTAGAGATTATATTAATGCTAATTGATCATAGTAATAATAACGTTTCAAGTATTCTTTTTATTGATATTTGTATACTTCAATACATGGCATAATGTTATAATATAGTATTTGATGTACAACAGTTCAAATAATGTGGACTTGAATTGTGTGCTTTCTAATACATACATGACAGAAACAATTCATCTGTAGGTTGGAGTTTTGTTTAATTTCTTGTTGGTTGTCTATAATTGATTAACAATTCATTCAAACAAATATTTGTCAACTACTTCTAACCATAGGTAATTAAATTTTCATTCCTCAATTTTAGCCATAAACAATGTATTTTTTCTTAAAAAAATTGTTATTTCTCTAAGTTGTATTGTATGTATGTTCTTCAGATTAAAACAAAAGTTAATAATATGTCAGTACAAGTCCAATGAAGTGCCGTTGTGGAATACAGGCAATGATATGATAATTAATAATGACAGTAGTAAGTGAACACATACGTTGTAACTTTACATAAATAATTTTCAATATTTATTATTCAGGTAATCTGTGTTTTGAAGATAAAAATATGTTGCTGAATGTTAAGTTAGTAAAAAAAAACTTTGTACTTTTTATTTCACGTACTATTTAGTAATAATCATTATAACGTTAACCAATCACTGCATAATCTTGTAAATTATAATTGATTCTTATCATTTTCATTTCAAACAAGAATATTCGTCTTTTTAACTTTTGTTTTCCCCAAATCAAACATAACAGCCAGTTAAACATTTAAACAGAGATGAATGATAGCTAGCAGTGAAATCTAGGATGAGTGTTTCATCTTATTCGAGACTGGTCAGCTGGATGTATATGGATCCCAGAGATGATGTTCACTCTGGGACTCGAATCAAGTGCTGTTAGCTTCCAGAGACAGCACATTTTCCACTTAGCTATTAAGTCTAGTTAGCCAGTGGCTATTGATATCTAGTGGATTTTAATTCATATATACTGGTTGTTTACATCTCCCATTGATGTTTAGGACTGGGTAAAATGCCCATGACTTATTGGGAATATCGAGTCAATCCAAACAGGATTCACTTATGTCAAAAGTGACTGATCTATTGCAGTTCCAATCATTGATGAGAAGATTCAAACAACCAATATATATTAGTCAGTTATATAGTCGAAATAATACTGCGAAATCATTACAATCAGTGATTTGATTAAAATAATAATCTGAAATTGAAATTCACCCAGAGATTACCAGTAATTTCACAGAGATACATTGTTCTTCTCCACTACGTTATAAATGCATACTCGGTCAACTGTATGATTCAGAGCAAAAAATTTTAATATTTTACTGACTTGATAATATGGAAATATAAGTTTACTTAATGAAACTACTTGTAAGAATTTTTTATTTTCCAGTTGTTGATACTTAAGACTGCATTTAATGACCCTCAGTGGGTACCTCCATATTGTCTGTAGTTAACATAAGAGTATCAAGACAAGACAAATGTAAACCTTTGAGAATAACTTCATACACAATGAACAAGATATTGGCTATGTTGAGTCAACAGGTTAATGGAAAATACGTTTGTGTTTAAAATTATGTATACTATATTTGAGTTTCTGTGTGAATATTAGCATTGGGTCACAACTATTTCTAGTAAACGATTGGCAAACAAAAAATCGTGGATCCTAGAATCTACAGCTGTTCAACAAACAAAAATGTCCAACAAACCTTCCATAAAATCCACGATCCCGCGCCCCGCGAGATTCGAACCCAGGACCCATACTAAGACGAAACGGCCGTCCAGTGCTTCCAGGTTTTCCATGGTTGTCTAGTTTCAATTGGCTCATGGTTTCAATCCGTGAAGTTTCTAAAATCTCCACAAACCCCTTCTTTCATAAAATATCCATTAGTTGTTTTCTTTTAGTATATGATCTATCTGTAGTGAAAAACCGGCTACGTCAAAAAGGTTAGAATCCACATATACTGATCAAGATACTACTCAAAAATTGATCTTAAATTCAGCGATACACACTTGATTGATGTGAGTCCGTATTATGAGGCAAATGTCATCGATTGTCAACGGTGTAAAACTATTTCGATTAAGACTTAATTTACTCAATGCATCATGTCTTTTAGGTAAACTTTCAGAAAAATCAACTCGAAGCTGGTTTTTTAATAAAAAATTAATCATTGTTTAATTCGTTGATTTTTTTTAGATAAATGGCTTAAATGTTTCTGTCCTCAACAAATAAACTGAAGTCTCTCTGAGTTGATATTTTCCGGAGTCATGAATCCACATTGCTGAGATGTACCAAACCGTAGTGAAATGCTTTCGCCCTATTACTATCTTATCTTTAAATGTTCTCCAAGTGATGTCTGTTCGGAAGGCAAAGTATTTAGAAAAACTGAAATCCAATTAGTTGTAACATTTTGAACTTTACCTTATCCTATGATAAGGATTTACAGAATATTTCCAGGCTTCTGTTTCCTTTAGAATGTTAATAGTTGCATCCATAACTCGATATAAGCTAGACCACTGTTGGAAAACCGGATACACTGGACGGCCGTTTCATCCTAGTATGGGACTGCTTATCAGTGACCGTTCACGATCCCGCCCGCAAGATTCGAACCCAGGAACCTTTGGTTTTACGAGCAAACGCTTAACCTCTAGACCACTGAGCTGGCCGGCATTCAAGGGTGTTAATATTTAAATTCGATTGATTCATGATAAACATTTCATCTATTGTCTGAGGTGGGTAACTGTCTGCACCCGACACGGATTGAACTCCACTGGTCACGGCTTCTCATGAATCGACTGACAATAAACATTAACACCGTTAAGCGTTCACTTGCGAAACCGAAAGTCTTGGGTTCTAATCATGCGCGCGGGATCGTGGACACACTGCTGAGCAGTGTTATACTAGGACGAAAGGGCCATTTAGTTGTCCCAGATTTCCAATGGTGGTATAGCTTACATCGACTCATGAATTCAACTGTTAAAATTACTATAACCTACACACTCTCTTAGAATTATCTTAGGATCCGTTCTTTTCATTTTTATTTTAATAACAATAATAAAATATTTGTCTTTATCCATAGTATGACTTAACTATACTACATCAATGCCTACTTTTTGTATTCAGGTGACTATGAATTGTTAAACAATTGTGAAGAAAAAATCAATTTACTCAAGCTTAATTTGATGAATTTAATTAATACTTCACCAGTTTGTAGTATTTACGAGACTGGCAAAGAAATGGTATGTCATATTCATTCATACACAAGGTTATTTATTTAATTTCAATAAATTCATTATTGAATGTGAAATACTTTATCGAATATACAATACATCGTCAATTATTTTTGTATTTGATATTGGTTTGGTCGATCAAACCATCCAGCTCAGAGAACAAAACTCAATCAAAATCATTCACCTGAGCTACAAATCTTCTCCACTATCTCAAAAGCATTAAACATTTAATAATAATAACTAAACCTAATAAAATATAGAACAAACTAAAGTAACTATATTTAATATTCAAAACATTTAACTCTGTGCTTGTTAATGTAAAAATATTGTATTATGTACTTATATGGTATGTGTTTGTGAACCATATAACAGATTTATTGAAGATTAAAGAGAATTACCGAATCTTCTATCATTTTTGAACAGTTAGGATTTAGTATTCAGTTTTTATTCTATTTGAAACTTATCAATCTGATAAATTGGTATTAAGAGTTCCACTGTTGATAGATGCTATATATTGATAGCTTCTTAACACTTTATATACATACTGTTTAATGAATATAAATCTACTGATATCAGTATAAAATGATGATAACCTCTGTTAAAACTTCTATTTCTTTTTGCTCCACAACCAATAAATTTATCGTACAATATACAATTTGAATAGGATATTTTATCAGCAATAATCAACATCTCGTTTCAATGGAACAGAAGTATAGTTTTACTATATTCTTTTTTATGAAAGAAACAACCCATCATTAACTTTAATTGTATTCTATATCTTATTTGTAGTGTGATCATAAGTTAAACAGTATAAGAAATACAATTCAACAACGATTTCTTCTTGTATGGAATAAATTAAAACTTACTGAAAGTGAAAAACAATCTTGTTTATTAAAATTTTGTTGGCAACATTTAAGTGATACTATTTATATGGCAAATATAAATAAAGCATTAAACTTATTGGAATATGCAGCGAAATATATTGAACGTCGTGAAATGTTATTACATAAATTAGCAAAAATTGAAATTGAACATTTAATTCAATCAAAAGATTATAGTTTAAGTAAGTTGGGTAAAAAAAATGTTTAAAAATATTTAAACTTCTTACAGTTAGTAGAAACAATTAAATTTCGTTTATTTATTGATTTTTTTGTTTGTTTCATGGTTTTATATCTACAATTGGTTCTGTTAAGTGAGATACAGATAGAATAAGAATCTAAAATAAGATTTTACATTAACTGATGTGTAACCTCTGGAAATTGACAATCACTAGATAGATATTTCGATTTCTATGAAATACTTCATAGTAATATAAATCCTTAATCTTGAATTAATATTTAACAAATTACTTTATTATCACCTAAAATGACACTTCATTTTTAACTGATTCATTTAAAATCTATTCAGTTTAAATTCGATCAGTTGAAAGTATGATATGATTAATTTCAATAACTGACAAGGTTTAACCATACTTGACTCAGTTGATAGTGTGTTATATTATAATAAGAATCAAATTCTAAAAGTTTGATTATTTGCTACCTATTTCAACTAACTTTCATAATAAAATAGTATTTCTGTGTCATTAGTTTTGCTCTTAGCGTTTCTAGAATTTCACTTTTCTTATTTCGATATCATATGAAAATGAGATATATTTGTAATAATTAACTGTTCACTGCGTTCTTCTTGAAAAGCTTAATAATAAAAATTACATTGACATATATCTGTTAAATGTTTTGGTAATTCTATTGGTTAATGTACAAACACTGCTACTTGTTCTTTTAACATCTTGTTAGTTTAATATTCTATAGAATCCCCAGAGATTAAAATGTTGCCTCTTTTCAAAATTACAGTTAGATTTCTCGTAAATCTGTATCATTTGTTTTTTTCTCAAACGAATAGCTCTAAGTTATGTATATTTCTTTCAACACGATATTGACAATTTAATTTCGAATCCCTTCAAACATATACAACTTCAGGTTTCCTTGTGATGTGTTGCAATTTTCACGCTATAGCTTATCATTAAGGTTATGCCATGAAGAAGATCCTACCTAAAAGTTTTCTGTTCCCATAAACCCTTTAACGTTTTGTATATGACGCGAACCATAAAATCGTAAAAATCTGAATTTAGTCAGTCCTAATTTTTTTTGATACATTTTTTGCACTTCATCAACCAAGGTAACTAGGACATGTGTTTCAAATAAATGTCAACCACCTGACCCAACACTATGCTAGATTGGAAAAGCAATAAGGACAACCTGAAAAAGACATATTATTAGATAATAAATTTACCAACTGTTAGTCAGAATTCAAATTCAGTAGTAACACCAAAGACGATTTTACTATTTATCGAACCCCTAATTGTAAAATGTTATTCTCACTCTATCCTGAGATAGTGAAGATTTGTAGCTCAGGTGGATGACTTTGGTAGGATTTTGTTCTCTGAGCTGAATGGTTTTCTCGTGAAGCTTTCATCGTTCTTCTGAACGACATCACCAGCACAAACTTCAGGTAAACGTGAAATGTTCGAATTTCTCCACAAGCGGTTCACAGCTTGTTCTGTAAACCTCGATGTTGTCAACAAGGTCAACAAGAACCAATAAACATCGAGGTTTACGGAACAAGCTGTGAACCAAATGTGGAGAAATTCGAACACTTCACTTCTACCTGAAGTTTGTGCTGGTGATCTCGTTCAGAAGAACGATGAAAGCTCCACGACCAAACCATCCAGCTCAGAGAGCAAAACTCTACCAAAATCACTCTATCATAATCGTTCTCCAAGTCTACTTAACCGTTTTATATTAAATGTCTTATTATTAGCTTTATTATTTATCACTATTACGTACTCATGATTCACTATGAAACTAAACCTAATAACATAACGTTATATGGCAGGCATAATAATAACCATATTCACAGTATTGTAGTGAACATGACACGAGTGAGGACGACCGAATGTATTTGTCTCGAAACTACAGAGCATGTCAATAAAATCTGAGAACCATATAGTAAATAGTTAATTTGCAAAACATCAATCCATCGTCTCAAACTTCACTGTTACTTTTGCAAATATCAGTTAATTGTCTCAGATTTTATTGTTCATGCATTTTCATACCAATTGCGTTCCGTTTCCATTCTTCCCTTATCGATCTTCTACCGAAATATATTCTATACCTGACCACCATCATATACTACTTATATGGATACAAGTAACCCACACCACAGTATCATCACTTAGCGATCTGATCATAACAAAATGAAATATAGAAAAAAAACAGCTCAGTGAAATCAAATAAGATAGTTCTATAATGTTCCAATCTATTTAATTGCATGTAATTATAAGTAAATAAATAAATTCTTTTGCGATAATAAACTATTCATTACCATCATATTGTCTAGTTGTGATATCATAGAATGTTTGTAGTTCTACTGAATTTTTACTCTTTAGAATTGATTCAATAAATTATATGAATGAAATAAGTTATTAATTGAATATTTCACTACTATATTAGATGATAATCATTTGGAATTGAAATGTTCAGATGAACGTTATAAAGTTGATAAGGTAAATATTATTAATTTTTCTTTATTTGAATTATATATTTATATTAATCACTTATTGTTTAGTAACCCGATAACTGATTCCAATTACATCGTATGAGTGTCATTGAAATATATATGTTATCTATCCTTGTATAAAATTCTCAACTTAGATCACGTTAGTGAATAATGGAATTAAACAAGCCAAATACGAGAATTGACTTTGAATATGTGTATTTCATGCACTCATCGATTTGATCAGGTAATCAGGAATGAAGCGAAAGGACGTGCAGTGGAGAAGGCAAATGAACCAGCTTTCATTTAATCGAACAGTAATTTATATTTATATTCAGACAAAAATAAGCTACAAACATGTGATGAGTAAGGATAAGATGTACACAGACGTACGCTCACATAAAACAGTCAGGGTTGATTTGGTGAATAATTAACAAGGTCAAAACGAGACTCAAGAATGGATACATCGGCCTGTCCAGAAGGTAAAATAAGTATATGGGCTTAACATAGAAACTGACACTACAATTGAATGAATGATTATTACACATTCTGATAGTATAATTGTGTTAAAGTACTTTTCAATGAAATCTTTGTTCTATTCAAAGATAAATTACTTCATAATTTATGATTATTGGCTTATTTCGAATGAAAACGATAGACTGACAGTCTGTTCTATCATTAGTTAGGCTTCAATAATATTGAGGATTTAAATTTTTAAATTGAAATATTTTTTCAGACAATATAAATTTTAGTGGAGTTTTGTTCTCTGAGCTGGATGGTTTGGTTGTGGAGCTTTCATCCTTGTTCTGAATGATATCAGGTAGAAGTGAAGTATTCGAATTTCTCTACATATGGCTCATAGCTTGTCCTGTAGACCTCGATCTCGATTGGTTAATGTTGACCTTTAACCTGTTTACTGGAAATTCTTTGGAAGTGCATTATAAAACGTTTTGGTGAAGGATTCAAAATGTGTTAACTGTTCAAACGACTTATTGGCAATCTACTGTAGTACAACATGTTCAGCTGATAACTGCTCTTGAAATTACATCATTGCAGCAAACCATAAAATGTTAAGCTAGACTACCAAAAAATGCTAGTCAAAAGAATTTAAGAATGATTTCTGTTAGATGAGAAAGAGTTTTGTAGACAAATAATGAATAATTATAAAATAGGTGTGTAGAGATTGTTGAATTACATTGAAATCCTAAATCAGTCTGAGTAAGAACACCATTGAAAACCTGGTTGTTTAACTTGGATTGGCTCAGGGTTTCAATGAAAATCATTAGCAAATTAGGCCAAAAATAAATGAGTTCATTAAGAAAATGATTGTGTGTTGATACATTGGTAACATCACTAAATAAACTATAGTTGAACTTGAAGTCGCTAAGTCATTCATGACTCATTTTATTTCACTTGCGTCTATTGAACTGCCGTTTATTTAAGGTTTATGAAGTGTAATACAGGACATAATTGTACTTCCAGTATTGTTATAATGTAAAATGTTTTAACGAACATTTTTAATAAATTAAATCACTAAAATCTTTATATAAATCTATATTTAATAGAAATTTAACAAGTTGGAGAAACTGATTGAGTCTACTGCTAAACAACTGGAGAAGAAGTTTAATTATACTCTGACATTCAACGTATGTTATTAACTCATAAGATAAATTATATTATTGAAATTTCTAGAATTTCATGTTGGAGTAAATCAAAGACGTCTAGATGTGTTTGTTCCACAGAGGTATAAATTTACAATAATAATTGATCTTCATTTTAAACAAAAACATTTGAAATTACTATAATATCCACAATACCCCTTCTGATATTATTCAACATATGCTCACTAGTGACTGGCTTCAAGAGGTATATCCTGGAGTTCTAGAGAGAAGTAGTGACCAATGGAGTTCAACCAGGTCTGTTGTGAAATAGTAACTCACTGATGACAATCGTGGATGTGTCGCTCAATTTCGTGAATTAGTTGAAGTTAGACATTAACACCGTTGGATGCCGGCCGGCTCAGTGGTCTAGAAGTTAAGCGTTCGCGCGCTAGACTGATAGGTCCTGGGTTCGAATCTCACGGAGGGACAGGATCGTGGATGCGCACTGCTGGGGAGTCCCACAATAGGACGAAACAGCCGTCTAGTGCTTTCAGGTTTTACATGGTGGTCTAGCTTCAACTGACGCATGATCTCAACCATTGAAAAAAAAAGAAATGGAACCTAACAAAACGATAATTTAAGAAAACAAACATTGAATTTCGTTAGCACCAGCTATTAGATGCATACTCTTAAAACGTAATAATTTATTGATGTTCTTAGTTTACATATTATGTAAAAACATTTTGTCAACCTAAAATATGGTTAATATAATGAGCTTTGTAAAACATATTTCAACTAAGTTATCTTAAAAAGGTATATCGATGAAAATGAATCGTTTGAAAAAATTACAAACATTTTGAAACAACCTCACTTGGTATTGTTTGGCTTGTATCTTCCCACCGATGTTTAAGACTTCAATTAATCAGTCTGTTATTGGCATATGTGCATACTGTGCGTATGCCTCGATATTGCCTTAATTCACAAGCTTTTTGAAAACAATGACGGATAGTGGCTAGCAGTGAGATCCAGGACGCGCTTTTCTTCCTATTTGGGACTCGTCAGCTGGATGTACCTGCATGTCAGAGTTGATATTTACTCTGGGATTCGAACCCAGTACCATTCGCTTCAAACGCCATCGCGTTATGTACTCAGCTACTGAGTACTGATAGCCACTTGCTTGTGCAATGGGGTGAATTTAAATTCACTTGGTATTGTTTTGAAACAACGCCTAAATTATACATAATAGCATTTATTGTTATTTGAAATATTTATTCCATGTTGCAAATACACTAAAATCATGATACGTTGTATTGTATTTGGTAATACGATACGCAGAAAAAAATGTAGCTTACAGATTTGCTTACCTTCCGTGATTATCAATATTTTCTGTTCGAGTTAATAAATTTTAATTGAAATCTGAAAACTGATGTTTATATATATATGATTTAATTGTTTCAAACACCATGCTGATTACCTTCAACGTCTAATGATGAAATTCGATCTTTCATCAGATCAGACGGTGAAATCTTCCATTTCCCATGGACATCTGCCTTAGTCACTAGATCTAATAAAACATGATTCTATAGGAAGCGTTTCACTCTCATTCACCTTTAATACTAATACCTAAATGATTTATATGTGTTTACAAATGATCTTGGTGGCAATAATTTACTATGTTAAGAAACGTTTGCATGAGCTAAAGATAATCAGGACAAAGAACTGATAATAATGCACAACAGTGAAGAATTTTCGGACAAAATTCTCGAAGTCCTAGGAAGAAACCTTCAGATGTGAAATCATCTAAATTAATAGTGAGATTAAATATCAGATGAAGGCTGTCTTATCACACGTTTTTCAGAGGAAAAATGTATATCGCTGAATCCGTACTCTGTAGTTTAAGGAAACTGTGTCTCCCACGAGACCCGAAACCGCTGGTTTTGATTACGTGTAAATTATTGACATACATAAAAACAGATCGGTTAGCTAGAAGACAGAATTTTGCGGGTGATTTTGAAAGGTCCTGAAGCTTACATCATTTGTGAAGGAAGGTACTCTAGCTTACTAATTTAGACAATAGTAAAATATGATGCTACTTCCATAAAAGTTATATCATTATCTATAGAAGATTCCTTATGTTACAGCATTTGAGTTAAATATTTTCACTTTGCTTTTCAGGGTCAAATTTATCTTAAAAAGATGGTCCATGATCGAAGTGATCTGATTTATTTACTGAGAGAAAAGTACAAAAGTAAACCAGGACATGATAGCGCAATATAGAAGCTCCATCCCGAAAAGTACACCTATAACATTATTAACGGTGTTTGTTTTATTTCCCTCAATTTATATGGAATTCGGTGAACAGTAATTATTATCTGTTTTGCATATCTCTATGAATGTGAAACGGTTTATATGATCCAGTACAGGTAGCATAATGAGGATATTGAGTAATTCCAAACTAAAAGCGATACATTGTTGTTTTATCAGGTTTTAATAACAAATACAGTGCGATTTCTCAATACAGGGTTAGTTAAATATCACTTTTAAAATCGTTGGTAGGTAAGGCAGAAGTCTATTTCAAGCAATTAGTCCCTTTTATTAGTTTTGGTACATTAATGAGAGGACGGAGTTTATCTGAAAAGTGTTATGTACATGCGTTATACATTCATGTCATGTGGGAAAGCCAATGAAGGTCAATTAAACAGAAACGATATTTGTAAATAAAGGAGAGAAAATCAATATAATATGTAGAGAATGTAAATTTATCACACTGCTATTCTAGAAAGAAACACTGAGTTAAGTTTACCAGGGAAGAGTCAAGTTTACGAAAAATCGTTTTTGTACACAAAAGAGGTCTGAATTTTCGAATATCCAGTGCTATTAGACGATCATAACCATGCTAGTAATTCTGAACAGAGATCTGGATTCACAATAATCTAACAAGATAAGACTGATCCTAATGAGTCAAGAACTTCTACAAGATACAATCAGGAACTCAAATCGGAAGTACACAGTATGAGATTGTATTTTTTAAGCACAATATATAATATTTAAATGTATACTAAGTTCATAGTTTATTTACTACAAGAGAGGTGTTTGTGACCCTACCGCTAGTCAGAGAAACCTGTGTCAGAGTCTTACTTCATGCTACAAGAATACCCTTTAAAGAAAAATCCTAGAAGTGCACTCCTATTGACTTGATATGGTAAATGAAAGTGAAGCTCAAGCATCTCCTAGCCAACTAGTCACAAAGAAAAGGTTTAGCAACAAATTGATAGTTTCAGAGCTCCCACAACCCTCTATGCAACTTCTACACCTCACACGTGATGCCCTATTTATACATAATTAAATCTCTAGGCAGTTTTTCTACAAAAACAATAACATATGGACGTAGATGTACATCTAAAAAAGACAAACTACATCGATACCTGATTATTTTTACGAGGAAAGTTATTATATATATCCAACCATGATGATACTGATCATTGTACAGTGAAGAGATAGTTTAGTACGGAGCATAGGAAATCTAGAATATCATATGCTAGCACCTTTGAGAATGAAGCAAGTTCACTCATCAAGCTTGGTGTTTTTGAAGGACTACGTTAAATATGTTTAAAAACCCATTTTGCAAAATACTGTTCAGATGTTGATAAAGCAATAGAATTCGTTCTTAAAAATAACTTGTGTAAAGTCTGTTAAAATGCTAACCATCTAACTCGGGATTCCCAGTCACTAAAGAGATGAGAGACCAAATAGTTTGGTTGGTGATATCGCACTACATCATAAGAAATGTGGGGAACGAACGGACACCATAGATTCCATCAAAATTAATACTCATTAGTGCATGGAAATTGATGCAGCTTAGAAACGCAAAAATTATACACGAGGTGTCACGCTAGCCATAATTCCTCTACTACTAAAAGGTGTCGAGATCATTCATACTTGGGCTTTTTTGAATAGTGGGCAGTTACTTCTTTTATTGCAGGTGATATATTCAGTGAGCTAGGTCTACATGCAAAATCTAAAATATCATCTTTGACGACACTGAATAGTAAATCGCCATTAGCATGCAAAGAAGTCGGTATAGAGTTTCATTCATAAGATTTTTCGTCGTCTGTTAAGATCCAGAAGTTGTAGACGGTCAAAAGATTATCGATAATGTAGGAGAATCTGTCAACAGCGTATCAGAGAGCGTTTTGATCTCACTTGGAGGATGTGGACTTTCCAAAAGAAGATGGTGAGGATATCAAGCTTTATTATTATTATTATTATTATTATTATTATTATTATTATTATTCACAAACATCTTATGGGCACATAAGTGTTGTGAAGAAACCCAAAGTGGTTTCATCAAAAACGCACTTATGCACAAGTTTCAATAATTTTAGCATTATATTTGCCATATTTGAAAAAAAGAAATAATAATGATAATAGAATAATAATAAATCAGGTTCTGTGTAATTGAGAAGAATATTGAATTGAGTTTAAAGAAGGAAAGGAAGAAAATAATAGAATAGAAATAAAGGAGAAATACGCGAATAGTTTAATAAACGTGTTTATGAACACAGAACAAGAATAAACGACTATGTATATATCACCAAATGAGTAACAAAAATAAAATAGAAAATAACTAAGAAAAAGTATGATGTTAGAATAAATGTTTGTGCAGTCATAGTTTAGAGTGATGTTATGAAAGTCTCAACTAAGTGAAAAGGATAATGAAATATCAATATATATGATTCATCTATGCTTAGTGAAGATAAAACGAGTCTGAGAAGTTAAATTAGGAGTAACACAAGTCTTAATTACAAACTTCGGAATCTTAAGAATAATATTTACTTAGAAGGAAGAAAGAGATTGAAAGGGTTAGATCATGATAATATTGAATATTGACCTCTGAAGTAAACCAACACTTTAAAAAAACATATCCTTTAGTGCACTCGGATAAATACACGTAGATTTATGTACTAGTATACAGGGTGAAACCGGATATTAGCATAAACATTTGTGCAAAATAATTTAGAATGATGCTGTGAAAGTCACGACGAATTGCAAGGGATGATCAAATATAAATTTCTACGTGTTATATATATGTGTTGAAGATAAAATTAATCTGAGAAGTTAATTTGTTTAGGTGTAACATAAGATTTTTTCTGTTTCTAGTTATAGACTTTGGATGTTTAGTAATGAAATATGTTTAGAACGGCAAGAAGAGATTAAAAGAATATCTAATGTGTTGAAGAACCAACAATGATAATAGTAACAGTAATAGATATAAATACGAACCTAAGCAGACTTCATATATTAAGATGAATAAAAATAAAATAAAATAGACGTTGAAAGTTTCCAAGTTCACACTTTGCTTTTCAGTCAATTAGATGGATGACGGACCTTGTTTGTATAAATCATTATTAAATACAATGGTATTCAATAGGTGACACAATCCATTTTCGGAAAGAAAATCATCAACGAGACTTCTGAACCAAGTTGTAGTGTCACTAAAACGGAGGCTCACTGGCAGTCTGTGCACATGGTTGAGTAGCGAATAACGAAAAAAATTCTGGCGTAAGTTTTTGTAGGTTCTTGGAATTGCTAGAATATTTTTCTTATTGCATAGATTGTCAGATGATATCATAGAGTATGAAGGGATGGATACCGAAGAGTAGGAAATACCGTTAATGAACTGATAGATAAAGACAAGGTTTAGTTTAGTACGCTTGATCCAGAGAGATTCTAATTTGAGTTGTTGACATCCTTGGTGATAGTTCTTGTTGTCGGAACACCCTAAAACAGCTTTAGAGAACATTCTTTGAACACCTTCAATTTTAATCAGTTCATTATGCTTGCAATTACTGCAAACTAAAATATCATACTCAAGAATGGGTAAGATACATTTTCTGTATAATAATAACCTGACTCAATATTATTGAGCTTTCTAGCTTCTGATACATGAGATGCAATGTGCTCCAAAAAGTTCAAACTGTTGCTATACCTTAAACCCGAGTCACGATCAGTGTCGAGAGGTTTCAGTGTATGTTCGCGTATAGCCGGATTTAGGTTAAGGTAATGGCCAATGAGACTAAATCCACTTTTGTCACCATTAAGTGACAAATTCCACCAAACAGTCCATTCGTACAACTTGTCAATTTCTTCTTGAATCACGGATGAAATAAAGCTTTCTTTGGTGGGAGGAGAGAATGACTCAACCACTTTTAGGTCGTAGGCAAAATGGAAAGGTTTAACATACTGAAAGAGGGAACACATTTCATTGGTAAAAAGTAAAAAGAGTAATGGACCAATCACACTTCCTTGTATAACCCCATTGGTTACATTCACAGGTTCAGGGTAGCAAGATCCAAAGCGGACGATTTGGCTAGGTTCTTCTAAAAAAGATTTGAGCCAAGGTAAAAGAGAATTCTGTATGCCAAATGAAGAGAGTTTTAAAAGACGAAGTTTGTGTGAGACACTGTCAAAAGCCTCACTAAAATCAAAGTAAAGAATTACCACTGACTGACCAACATCTCTTCTCTGGGTAATTTGATCAAAAAATTCCAGGTGCGATGTGTAGCCCAAGATACACATGAGACGAAAGAGACGAGAACTGGAAAGGCAAGTAAGACTTATGTTGTGGGAACTTTGATGAGATGAACGCTGTTTGAGCTCTATAGCGGACCTCGTGTAAGCAACTTTGTACTTGGTCGCCTCTCAGCTGGGGAGGAATTGGAAAATAAACTTGAATAACTACACGCAACTGATTTTAAGGGCCCATTCGGTCGTACAATACTGAAATCGGTTGAGGATCGCATAGCAGTCAACGCCATGCCAAAGTCAATGCAAGCGTTGGACGGACATTATCGAAAAGACTTACCTCTGACGCACAAGAACGAACGACCTAATAACAAGAAATTAGAATGGCTCAAACTTGGATCTTTGAAAGATAGACCTAGTTGGGATGTGAAATTGCTCCAATGTTAAGCTACTCCTATAACTCGGTATATTGAACGAAATTGTGCTGAAAAGGCAAAAGGCAACTAGTATGATAGACGAATTTATATCTTTTTTATCATCCTACCTTACATTCTAATAGACCTGACAAGTCAAGAATGGTGTTTGATTATATTGCTCAGTAGGCCGGGGCATCTTCAGATAAGAATCTTTATTCCGAAGCTAAATTAGTCATTAACTTTCTAAGTTTCTTCACAAGGTTTCGGCGTCGACCAATAGATCTTATAGCAGATGTTGAAGCTATTT